TGGCTGAGCCAGAGCAGTGCAGGCTGGGACTTGTAGTCTCCATGGGCTGCAGCCTGCCCTCAATCAACGCTGAGCACTGACACAGCTCGCTACCCCTTCCCGGCCATGGCCAGGCCAGGCTCCTTCCCCCACTGCAGGGCAGGGAACAGCCCAGAGCGGGGCCGAGGTCCCAGCCAGCATCTCGCAGCACATCAGGGTCAGAGCCAGCAGAGAACCCAGGCCCCCCGGCTCGGACCCTTCCAGGGAGCCCCAGACCGTGCTGAGTAGCTCTTTGAATCCCCCGCCCCCGAGCAGCGATTGAGCGAGGCCAGCCCCCTGCCGCCTGGCCCCACGGCACTGTACCACCAAGCCCCCGGAGCGTGGGAGCTGCTGAGAGCCCCCGAAGGAGCCGACGTCGCGAGTGCGGCTGCCAGCCCCAGCCACCTCCCCAGCACGGCCCCCGCGGCCCTACCAGCCCCCAGCAGCTGGCCCCAGAGCTGGGTCTCAGCTGAACCCCCTGCTCTGGGCCCAGCGTCCCTGGCTGGGAGCTCTCCTGCACCTGGGCTTGGGGCCTGCCCTTCGCTCCGTGGGGCCCAGGCCGGCGGGGCCCCGGGGCCCCTCTGGGCACTCACCGTTGTCAGGCTGATGGGGGCGGGGTGCTCGCGGTACAGGATGTAGTCGATGCGGCGCCCTTCCCAGGGGCTCCCTGCTGCCGAGGGGTCGGGGCGGCCGTCCCGCAGGATGGGACCCGCCAGGTACGTCCGCCTGCCTTCCTCTTGCTCCAGGGTCCTGTGGGGTGCACGGGGAGCCGTCAGCAGGGTGGGCCGAGTGGGGCTCTGCGTGAGCTTAGGTGGGGGGCTGCACGGCAAGGGAGGGCCATGCACAGGGTACCCCCAGTGTCCCATTACCCTGTGCAGGGGCGGAGGCAGCGCCTGCCTTGGACCAGGGCTGTAAGCCCCTCTGCCCCCCCAGAACTACCGGACGCCTCCCTCCCTCCCCTCCAGTGCTCTGGAACCCACAGAGCCCCCGTGCATTTCCCTCCCCCAGTGCTCTGGAACCCGCAGGGCCCCTGGACCCCCCCCTCCCAGCACCCAGAACCCATGGAGCCCCCGGACGCCTCCCTGCCCCCCCCTGGAACCCGCGGGTGCAGCCGTTACCTTTTCAGCTTCTCTGGGGTCGACACGGCCTCCTCGTGGATCTCCAGGTAGTTCAGCAGGGTGCCTGCAGGGACGTGAGCAGCAGTTAGAGCCTCCCCTACTCTGCCATTCCCCCCACCCCACAATCTTCCTTCACCCACGGGTACCTCAGCAGAGATCTGGGGGGGTGGCGGGGAGCAGGGCTGGGACAGCAGGGGCTCCGGGTCGGGAGGGGCATGGGCAGAGCTGGGGGGCAGGCCTAGGCTAGCAGGGCCTCTGAACCCCTGACCCCCGCTGTCTCACCCTGAGCTCCCAAAGGCTGGGCCCCTGGGAGGATTTGGATCTAGATGTTTATCTGCAGCCCCAGACAGGGTCCCGGTGCCACGGAACTGAGACAGAGAGGGCAGCAAGGCTGCGCCGGGCGCTGGGCCGGCCAGACACGTACCTATGGCCCAGGGCTGGTCCTGCCTGGGCCCCACTCGGCATGGGTCTTGGTACTGGCGGAAGATCTCATGGGTCTGCTCCAACTCATCCCCTGGAAAGAGCCGGCAGAGTGAATGGGCCCATCTGCCCTCCCCCATCCCTTCCAGGCCGCCCTCTCCCCCTCTGTTCCTTGTGTGATGGAAATTTTCTGTCATATTTTTATGATTCTGATACGTGCCTCAGTTTCCCTCTATACTTTGCTGCTCCTGGAAGAGTGCAGGAGACACAGGTGTGCCTGGATTCACTGCAGGGAGCCACGGAGCAAGCCAGGATCACTGGGGCCTGACAAGCCAGCCCAGGAGTGTCGGAGGCCACGGGCGTGCCGTGGGGAAGTGTGTGAACCCTTGGGGTGCGGCACGCTGGAGGGGTCACTTACAAGGGATGGATTACAGGCTGGGCATGGAGCAGACCCTGTAACTCCGCAACACCTGGTCACCCCGCCAGGCTGCTTTCCTGCCCCCCCAATCCCCATGAGCTCCCTGCCCATTCCCATGGGCTTCCCCCCCAACCCCCATGGGCCCTCCCCTGGGCCAGGCCCCACCTGAGGAGCAGTTGTCGAAGTTGAAGTCCCCGCAGAACATGTCGAAGGCGACGACGTCCCCGCGCTGCGCGTGGGTGTCCTGGAACAGCTGCACCCAGGAGAGCCCCATGGTGAGCTGGTCACAGCGGATCTGTGCATGGGCTGGGGGGGGACAGGGCTCGGTTACTGGCTGCACCCCAAATCCAACCCCTGCAGAGCTCCCCCTCAGGGATTGAGCAGCAACAGAGCCAGGAGCCCCAGGGCAGGAAGCAAGCGCCCCCCACCCACCACTCATGGGGTCCCCTCCGCTGCCACTGGAGACCCTGGAGTCAGGGGAGCCTTGGCCCCTGGCTGGAGGGTCAGCGCTGGGAGCTCAGCCCAGCCCAGAGGACAGGTGCCCCCCCCTCGCTCGCAGGGGGCCCTGTGGGGCAGGGCTAGGGAGGCAAGCAGAGGGTGTTGGGGCTGAACCGGAGGCCCGAGTGCCCAGGTGCCAACACCGCACCAGCACCAAGCCCGCTCCAGGGAGAGGTCTGAGGCTGAGTTGTTTCCAGGAGCAGAATGGGGAAGGGGGGGCCTGAGGGTCCGTGTAACACTCCGTACCTCGGGGGAACCCCCTGCACCCCTGTGTTCATCATAATATGATTGTGTGGTATCCAGCGCAAAGTTTGTCATGTCGGGTGTCTGCGGATTCGCATGATGCACTGAGCAGTGTTGTTATAGTGATGTTATGGGCTGTAATTTCATGTATATAGTTACGAGGCTGAAAACGTGTCCTCATGGCTTAAAACAAGCACAGGCAAAACTCTCCAGGAGCAGAGGGGCAGTTCACACCTCATCAGGGCATGTATGGGACAAACCCAGCCCAGCCTCACAGGAACAAAGGACACTGGCCTAGGCAGCAACAAAGGATCTGTTGGACTTTCGAGTGAGTCACCCCCCTTCCCTTGGTCAGTCAGAGACTGCGATGAGGAAATGCTCACCTGACTCTGAAGGGGGGGGAGGGGCAAAGCCAAGAGGGAAGAAAGAACATGATAAAAGGGAGAGACGTTTGCTATCCTCTCTCTCTCTCTTCCACCTACATCTACAGACATCACTACCAAGAGACTGAAGCGCTGATCAAAGGGGAGAGCCTGGCTGAAGAGCAACCAGCCAGCCTGTGGTGAGAAGCATCTAAGTTTGTAAGGGCATTGAAAGTGTTACAATCAGATTAGAATGCGTTTTGCTTTTATTTCATTTGACCAAATCTGCTTGTTATGCTTTGACTTATAATCACTTAAAATCTATCTTTGTAGTTAATACATGTGTTTGTTTATTCTACCTGAAGCAGTGCCTTTGGTTTGAAGTGTGTCAGAGTCTCCCCTTGGGATAGCAAGCCTGGTACAGATCAATTTCTTTGTTAAATTGATGAACTCATATAAGCTTGCAGCATCCAGAGGGCATAACTGGACACTGCAAGACGGAGGTTCCTAGGGTTGTGTCTGGGACCGGAGATATTGGCTAGAGTCACTCAGTTGCACAATCCAAGGAGCAGCTTACATGCCAGAGGCTGTGCGTGACCAGCCCAGGAGTGGGGGTTCTCACAGCAGAGCAGGGGAAGGCTGGCTCCCAGAGTCGAGGGGTGGAGTGACCTAGCAGATCATCAGTCCGGTTAACACCAGGGGAACGTCACAATCCGGACGGCTGTTTTCTCCCTCCCCAGCCCCCGTGGGCGAGAGCCCCTGACTCACCTCCGTAACACATACTGTGACCCGCTGGAGCGTGCAGGTGTGTGCAGTTCAGGTAGCCCACAATCCTCTGCCCTTGTGCTGACCCCAGCTGCACCTAGCACGTGCACACGGAAACGTTGTCGGTTACAAGCTGGAGGGCCACCGACATGGTCGGGCCCCACACAGCACAGGCCCCATTGTGGGGATGGGTGGGGGTGCAGGCGTCTGGCCAGGGCGATAGTCAGAGCCGCGGGGAAGGAGGGTCAGTTTCAGCCGTCAGAGTAGGGCATGGCTGGGAGCTGGGAGGAGACGACCCCGCTGCGGTTCATGGACCCACGTGTCCGTCACCCCACGGGTGCCCTGGACTCAACCCTTATTGTCTGGCTGGGGTCCCAGCACCTTGTGGGGTGGGAGCCCGGCTCCCAGGGCACATCTAGACAGCCTGCGACAGCGAGCCCCCAGCGCAGGGTGGGCTCGTCCCCGGGGTCAGAGCCGAGCTCCAGCCCCAGCCATGTCCACATGGCCGGTTGTGAGCCCTCGCACGAGCACTGCTAGCCCCAGGCTGCCCCGCCGGGAGGCTGCTGCAGGGCTGGGCGGACACACCCTGGGTGACTGTTCCCAGCTCTGGGAGGAGGCAGAGCCCTGGACAAACAGAGCAGTTTCCATCCCACGCTGGGGTCACTGCTGGGGCAGGCGTTTCCAGGCCTGGCTAAGGGGGAGCGAGTGGCCGGGGCGGCAGCGGGGTCAGGTGCCCAGGGGCCCGTTGTCAGAGGCTGAGCGCCCTGCAGCCATCCTGCTGGCTCCCAGCCCCGCTGCCGAGGGCTCTCACTGCTCTCCTGGCAGGGCCGTTCCCGAAGCGCCTGCTCCCCGCCAGGCCCTGTCCCTGCCTGGGCTGCAGACACCCACTCCCCTGGAGCCGTCCAGCTCCGGCTGCAGGCACTGCCCGAGGGGCGTCCCCCCCACCGGCTGAACAAGAGCATCGGGGGGCCCTGCCCCCGCCACCCACTGCTGGGAGCCCCAGCTCACAGCCCCCTGTCTGGGGATCCTGGGATTTGGGGCAGACGCAGGCAGCTGCTGCTTGTGGGACAGCTGGAAACCAGCTGTTTGCTCCTTCCTGTGGATGGGGCTAGGCTGAGGGGGCGGGGCATTGTCCCTCCTCTGCCCATGGGGCGCAGGGGGCCCCAGGGTAACCAATCCCCTGCACGCAGGGGTCACCGGCTGAATGATGCACGTGTGAACACGGGGGCTCAGACTCGGGGCCTCCCCACAGCTGGGAGGCCAGGACATACGGGGAAAAGGGAGAGGGCCCAGAGTCACTCGGGGACTCCAGGGCGGAGCTGGGAAGAGACCCCAGGAGTCCCGACTTCCAGTCCCCTGCTGTAACCCGCTCCGCCACCCAGGCCCCCCTCTGCCCAAGCAGGCCCAGCGCCCTGCAGGGAGCGGTGGCACGTGGGCGGATGCAGCACTGCGCTGAGCAGGGCAGGGAGCAAATGCCCCAGGCCGCCCTGCAGCGCCCCCTTCAGGCTGGCAGGGGAGAGGCCACACCAGGCCCAAGGTGGTAGAGGGTCCTGGGCACCCCGCAGCTGGAGCAGCTCCTCACCTGCACGGAGAGCAGCCCCTTGGCAGACAGCGCGTCCTC